AAAAATTACACAAAAAAATGAGGAATTTCAAATAGTTAATTTGATACTAATATTGATATATTTTTTGTCAAATTTTTATGATATCGTCAAACATATATTTTATTCAAAAATAAAAACATCATCGTTTTCTCAAAACCACATAAAGTCATATTATAACATCGACTGAGATAAAGAATAAAATGAAATATTAAAAATTCGATGTATCTCGCTGCATTGCGCGAGTACGCTTCTAGTTATATTATAAAGTATTTAAGAAAAACTTTTAAAAACTGTTTTTTGTGCATAAATAATGTTTATTGATACATATTACTTAAAATTTAAGATTATAAATATACCATGCGTATGTACAACTTATTAAAATTGTATATTTGAATTTGTGCAACTAGCCACAGATAGACATAATCAAATACAAAATAAATATTTTATTTTAAATATAAAAAATCTAATTAATTTTCAAATATGTCAAAAAAAAACATTTTGGTTTATAATAATTAATTAATAACATTTTATTGTTTTATAATTTGTTTTTTTATAACATATTCGTTCAAATAATAGAATTTAATTCCTATAAAATAAACAATCCAAAATTTCAAACTTTTACAATTTATATATTCTTGTATATCATTTTCAGGGATAAATCCAAAATTTTTTTCAACACAATTTGACCATAAGAAAAAAATATAGGGAAATTTTTTCAAACGATGGCACCGTTTGACTATAAGAAACAAACATATAAATTTTTTTCAAACAGTGGCATCATTTGACTAAGAAAATGACACTATCATGATTCGAACTTGGGTCTGTGGTGGAATAAAAGCTTTGCAAACAAACTCTACCAAATAAAACTTGTTCTCATTGTCGTTTCAAAATACATAGGATGACACACAACAAATTAACACAGTTGCACCGTTTCTGAAACCTAATTTTTTTACCCTTCAACAAAGATACGGTGGCACGGTGCCACCTATACCACATAAGTGGGTCCGTCCATGATCATTCCATGACATTTTGTCAAAATACAAGATTTTTTTATTCCTAGGCATGGCAATGGAGCAAGGATGGAGCGGGTTTTGTAATCCCCGGCCCCAGTCCCCGGTTTGTAATAACATTCCACGTCCCTGATCCCGGCGGATACGGGGATTAACATCCCGTCCCCGATCAAACCTCTATCAATCCCCGGTCAAAACCCGGTCAAACTTCATGAAGAACATCCCTTAGTTTGATTCTACCAAGGATCCCCGATCTCGGTTTGAGTAACATCCCCCGGCCCCGACCCCGACCCCGGTTTGAGCCTATTGGGGATCGCTGGTCCCTGTCTCGGGACCCGTTTTACCGAAGAATCCCCGTCTTCGACCGAGTCGGATGAACCGGACTCCCCACCAAATCGGGACAAATCACCATCCCTATTTATTCCACGTTTAATGGAAACTTTTTGAAAAGTTTCAGACAACTCTCACCTTTCGATATATTTGATATTGATAATATTAAATTTAAAATAATATTCGTAAATTAAATAAAAATGGGCAGTTGTTTATGTTGCTTGATTTGGTCTGTTTTTTGAATAGTTTAATGCCAAGAAGGATTCATCAACATTCAACTGGACCAGATGTTGGCTGACGATTCCATCAATCTCTCTGTCGACAAATCATGTGATTGAAAACACGCCCACCCACAAACAAATTCCCATTCCTATGAATCAATCAAGAAATTCTCCGGTGATTCGCTCCGCCCCCGGGCAAGTTTGGAATCAGAGTTCTAGTTCCACTTCCAATTCTGGTTCCATCTATGGCTTCCGCAGGGATCATCAGCCTATCGAACAGAAAAAGACCTCCTTTTTTGGCTTAATAGTTAGGGTTTTGACATGTAAAGGGGATATAGCTCATGTGGATGAAGGTCATCCTCAACCTGCTACAGTCCCATGTAAGTTTTTTCCCCCAATTTCCTATGTTTTGATGTAATTATTGAAAACTGAACTTCGTATTAAGTTCACCCTAAGAATTTGTTCACTAAAAATTGATCTTATACGGATAACCTAGTTTGTGATTGATGCTTGTTTGTTACCAAAAGCTGTTTTGGTAGCATCTTTTAAGGGATTTTTGGGTTTAGGGCTCTAAGAGCATGATACTTTTGGTCAATCTTACAATAGTTCATGAACTGAATCATGTCCATGGAAGGAGAATCCCACGTTTGACTTTTAGAAGTCAAATAAGGTGTCCATTGATCTTAGATTAATAGGTATAAATATGCACATAGAATCCATACATTAGAAACATGTTGAATTCGAGCAATGGTCACTCAAATTCTGCTCAAATTCGATTGTTGGATAATAGGTATAAATATGCACATAGAATCCATACATTAGAAACATGTTGAATTCGAGCAATGGTCACTCAAATTCTGCTCAAATTCGATTGTTGGATCGGTGTAATGCTCTTACTAGTATTGTCATATTAAAAGGAGTGAAAGGTAACAAGATTTTGTATAAAAGAGTTGCAAACGCATGCTTTAGAACTTGTACTCTTGATGACTCCTGCAGAAAAGTTGTGCAGCGAGTGCTCGTAATGCCTTTCTCCGGGTAGTCTTTTGTTGCATTGGCTTCGTTCCAATAGTGTAAGTATTACAACAATGTTGCTTTTCTGCAGATTCAAACCCTGCTTCTTTGAAAAGCAGCAAAAAACACGACTCTGCTTCCTCTACGCCTTCCGTGGCCTCTAATGGACAGCAGGGCTCAAATGGGTTATCCTTTGAAGATATTCGTAAGGCGACTGGAGATTTCTCTACCTCAAATATAATCGGGGAAGGAGGATTTGGTACTGTTTATAAGGGAACACTGAAAAATGGATCCATCATTGCTATAAAGCGTGTGAAAAAGGTTACTGTTCTTTTGCATAAAGTCATGGAGGGATTGTGAAAAGTTTCTGTTGTTTATTTACATTTCTTATGGCAGGAAACTTATGACAGAGGGACACCAGTGGAGTTCAAAAATGAGATCCTAACATTTTCAAAGATTGAGCATCTGAATCTGGTTAGATTCTACGGATACATAGAACATGGAGATGAGCGTATTATTCTGGTAGAATATGTTTCAAACGGAACCCTTCGTGACCATTTAGATGGTAAGTGCAGTTACATGTATCCCGTTTACACTAGAGTTCAACGCTCATGTCGTACCTTGTGTATGCAAGCCAGTACTGCCTCCAAAAGTGCAGTTTCGTCTTTTCACATTGGGCACAACTTTAGGGTTAAAATTTACTGTAGAAGTGATAATCTCTGCCTTTTCAGGTAAATGTGGAAGCGGGCTTGAAACCGGGGAGCGTCTAGACATTATGATTGATGTAGCTCATGCAATCACATATTTACATACATATACAGGTTTCTTGCTGTTAGCATTCTTGAACAATTCATGAAATATCAAGAAATCTACATTAATTGGTTTTTTCTATAAAACTGCAGATCTCCCCATAATCCACAGAGACATAAAATCGTCTAATATACTGATCACTGATAAACTTCGTGCGAAAGTGGCTGATTTTGGATTTGCGCGCATAAGGGTTGAAGATCCAACCGCCACTCACATTTCTACTCAAGTCAAAGGAACCGCAGGCTACTTAGATCCTGAATACCTCAGTACGTACCAACTTACCGATAGGAGTGATGTTTACTCCTTTGGGGTTTTGCTTGTGGAGCTCGTAACAGGAAGACTACCAATCGAGTTAAGTAAAGCTCCCAACGAGAGATTAACGACAAAATGGGTAAGTTCTTACATCATATTGCAAATAAATATAGATTACGTTAAATGGTGTCTGTCTCCATTGGCTGATGTTGATAAGCAACATGTTGCAGGCAATGCAGAGACTCAAAGGAGGGGAGGTGGTGCTGGCGATGGATCCAAAGCTAAGGAGGAATCCGGCGTCAATGATGGTGGTTGAGAAGGTGCTGAGACTCGCGCGACAATGCTTGGCCCCCACAAGACAATTGAGACCGTCGATGAAGAGATGTGCGGAGATCTTGTGGAGAATCAGAAAGGATTTTCATGAGCATAAGGATGTTATGGCAGCTGCAATCCATTCTGTACAGGTACCTCAGATGGATGCCAGAAAGAACCGCCGTGAATTCTTCGGTATCGAAGACAGCAACAACCAAAGATTTCAATCTGCGTAGAAATTGTATAAAAAAGGTCCCTTTTTGTATGTAGAGAATTTATTCAACTGTTCATTTGTGTTTTCATTACAACGTTGTTGTTTTCCAGTTTTACACATGAAAACTAATAAGACCCCCTAAGAGAAGATGTAAGCATACTGTTTTTTTGTAATTTGGTTGATTATAACGGAAATTTGTGATGGGTGTTGTTGCTATAAGTAAGATGTAACACGACTTGTATGATTTAAGCACTTCCCAGTAAAATTCAACATTATCACTGATTTACTGGGTAAGATTTTATTCACTAAAACTCATCGTATGCAACAATTTATCCCGGTAAACGCTAACCATGGTAAGATTCTTCGTCCTCATTTACCGGGTAAGACTCTCGATTCATGTTTTCGCTCTTACCAGGTAAGATTATTTGCCCTTGCCATATTCATCCGATAAACTAGGGTGCTCAAAAACCCGACTAACCCGATCAACCCAACCCAACACGTCATAACTCAACCCGAAGCAACCCGATGTCTAATCGAGTTGTAAAATTGGTAGGTATTGGGTTGATATTGGGTTACTATTATTTGAACCCAACCCAACCCGATGAACCCGATATCCTTTTATTTATTGGATTTAATATGATTGTTGAATTTCTATTAATATGTACATTAGACAATTACACTATCATGTATACTTTTCATATACACATATTTTCAATCTATTCATATCTTTATATAACTTATTTGTATATATGTTCAGTGACTGTGAACATATATATGTAAATTGATAAAAATAACTGAATGTGATACACATAAGAAGTATTGATAAGTTGTATCAAATGATTGATGATGAAAAATAAATTATAAGTAAAGAAATAACATATTCAATATTAGAAAAATATTTTAATGTACGAAAGTATCATCCCGACCAACCCGGTTACACTTTGGTTCAGGTTGGATTGGGGTAAGATTTTTCAACCGCAAGTATTGGGTTAAGTTGTACAAATGTCTTCAACCCGATTAACCGAACCCATGAACACCCCTATGGTAAAGTGACTTTTACCCGGACAAATATTTGATAGACAGCACCTAAGTTCCAATTTGGTTAGGTGGCAGCATCTAAATATACGTACTTTTGTATTACTATGACTTCCAAAATATCATTTTATTACACGTCGTAAATCCAATTTAATGGGGTTGAGGAGTACTCATAATTTCTTTAAACAATAACCACCATTACCAACTACTTGCAATCATAAGAACCAACAGCAGCGAGGTCTTAGTGATCATGTCCCAAACAGCTTACTACAGTCTACAACTAACTTCACTTTCAACCATCAAATCCAAAGACACTGAAACTTGGATCAACAACTAACACAACATATGCCCTAAATCCATGCCATTAATACAATCGACTATCTAACTAGGAGAACCAGACCTAGGGGTAGGCGACCTCGACATTGACCTAGAATTCGGACTGCTGCTCCTGCTACTTGTCGAGTTTGACCTAACCGGCGACGCGCTGGAAGAGTAGCTCCTATAATGCCTCCTTGGGGAAGAAGATACACTTCGAGAAACAGACCCATAACGCCTGCTCCTGCTCCTCAATGACCCTCTATAGTCCGGTGAATAATCCCTAAACGACGCTCTGTAATCTGGAGAATAATCCCTCGAGCAGTACCGGTACCGGTCCTTCCTGCAATAACGGTCTTCTGGGCTGTAGGACCTGGAATGGTACCGGCCCCTTCTGCAGTAACGGTCTTCTGGGCTGTAGGACCTGGAACGGTATTGACCCCTCCTATAGTAATGGTCTTCTGGGCTGTATGACCTAGAATGGTATCGACCCCTCCTATAGTAACGGTCTTCTGGGGTGTAAGATCTTGATCGGTGCCGACTCCTCCTGTAGTAATGATCTGGGGTATAGGACCTGCGTCTACCAACTGGTGACCAACTGCTAGAACGAGAGTAGGACCTCCCACGACTCGAGGATGATCTGCGGCGTCGGCTACTGTAACATGGAGAGTAGGACCTGCTCCTGCTCCTCTCTCTTTCAGATGGAGAACTGCTCCTCGAATAAGGAGAGTAGGTTGGTGATCGACGATGGACTGTATCAATAACGGAAAGAAGTCAACATATGTAAACCAAAGTAACACTCAACAACTCTGCAGATGCACCATGAAGGTAGAACATAGAAAGTAACATCACATGTGAATTACAAAAATATTTATGATGAATATCATGAATAATGAAAAAATGCATGACGATATTCATGAATAGTTGGTTCACACTATTCTCAAAATACCTACAGTTACTAAATGAACTTTCCCCTACACATAGTGTGCGTGTATGCATAAAGGGAAGTTTTTTATTTGGCTTCTGTGAACCGATTTGAAATAGGAAATCTGAGAAAGATAATATCCAGACATACCACGTACAGTCCTCAGTCCAAGGTACCTTCCTGGAGTGGGTGTCCGGCCTCTCCGCCTCCTGGCCTGTTGATGAAAAAAGGAAAGCATGAGCTCAAGAAGCTACAACAAAATCACTTGTACAAGCAGACGTTCGTATTGCATAGACATTTCTTATTGACATGAAGCAAGAAACTTCTGAACGGTCATATATAAATAAAATTGCACGAAATGAATAAATGAAAGAAATGAGGATATACAACCCTCTGGGTTGATAGTCTGATATTTGCTTGTGATTTGATTTGTTAGTTTGGAACTTTGAGGAAGAGCTGCAACATACAGCAAACTCTGTCAAAAAAACACTTCACCCGGAGAGCAAACAACATTCAAATTGAATACCAAAAACTACAAGATAGAATTCTAGAGACAAATTTAAGCTCGATGTATCAACAATGAAATGAAAAACAACAAAATACAATAAGAAACATTTACCTTCTCCACAGTGATGACACGGCCCTCAAGAACAGAGCCATCTAAATACTTGATGCAGCGTTCGGCTTCCTTTATATTGGACATAGATACAAACCCAAATCCACGAGATTCTCGTGTCCAAGGATCTATCACACGATGAACATCTTCCACCTAACAAAATACATATATCACCATGAAAATATGATCTGAACACTCCTACACTGAGACAGATAAATCAGCACCTTATATCACCATCTATTAGTTTATCCTACGGATGAACAGTCAAGCAGCGGTACCAGTAAACATGGCAAGGCATTGACTGCTTGTAATCAAATAGATTATTGCAATATGTAAATGATTAGATAGCATTTGTGGCCTACCTTTCCCTCTGCTGAGAAATGCTTCTCAAGATCTCTCTTTGTGATACGTGGGGATAAACCCGTAACATACAAATTGTTTCCAGGATTTTCAATGTCACTTGCATCATAGCTCCTGCACCGCTTTCAATTGAGTAATAAGAAACCCAAAATTTAAATAACCCCATTCCACCTTAAAATTTATTTGTCAGCAAAAAAGCCTTATTTTAGAAATCAAAGATAAAATGAAGTGGACTGGTGCTTTAGCATTGAAAGAGTTAAACTTAATTCAGAAAGAATAACATGAATTAGTGACGCTTAAGCTGTGTGTGTGATTATATGAAGGAACACTCACCGACTCCTGGAACTCGATCTGGACCTTGAGACATGGCGCTTGTGTGGTGGTGAAGGAGAAGGGGAGTACCTGAATGCCAAAGGGAGCAATTCATTAGACAAAAATAACCTTTGAGTTGAGAACCAACCATACAATTGATGTACGTAATACAGAGAGACATGCACATACCTTGACCTCCTCGAGAATGACATCTGGAAAAACAAAGGGCTTAATTAGCAATGACACAAAGGTGATCAGGGAAATGTTCCAAAGTTTCAAGAGTCCAGGGCCATAAATATGCAATTCAAAGGACATTTACACATAAAAAGCATTAAATTTCCAGAATCATTGTATTTCAGACAAAATCTAAAATTAAGCAAGACAGTTCACAAGAACCTAATAAAGAGGAACGCAAATTCTTGCTCGAATATTGATTTATATCAAATGCATACCAGAACCGCTCAAAGTTACGAATAGACGATCAATGTTCAATACTCACTAATGTGATCAGTGAAAAATCATCGGAAAGCATAGAGTAACTTCGATTCCGGCACCCTTTCAATCGATCCTACAATTATCAGACTTAAAACATATTCCGAAATCACGAAGAAAACAAAATCAAGTTTGATCATTCACACTATCGGTAAATCATATCATCACACAAAACAATACGAAACATGATCACATCAATCAGCAAATAATGATTTACAAAACATTCATGATCAATTGATTAAAGGGGCAGACAAATGGGCGTAAAGGAATCATGTGACTCACCTGGACGATTTCCCAACGAACAAGAAAGAGAAAGAGATGAACAAGAAAGAGGTTTGATAGATGGATGGATGAATGAATTTGTGTCGATTGATCTCTCTACGTATATGTGTTGAAGGAACCTTGAAGCTTTTACGAGAAACCAGATTGCGACCACACACGTGGAACACTCCGGAAAGTATGAGAAGGTTCTCGATCACCGGACCCCAAATCAACCTTTAAACCTGCTTTAATTCTAAAATTTCCCACATTTATTTATTCTTACTAATTTTTAAATGATAAAATTCACAAAATAACAATCTACTTTCATAAACTTCTTTATATTGCATTGTACTTCCAGTTTTTCTCATGGCGGTGATTCAGAGCAGTGGTCGTCGATGGTGGTTTAGATCGGCGGTGGCCAACAGTGGTTTAGATTGGTGGTGGTCGACGGTGGTCATATTGGGTTTTATGAGATTGGAGTATATTGGATTAAGAACATATTTGTTATTATGAAAAATAGAGAATTTCATTCCATTAAAATAACATATAGTTGTTAAAGAATGTTAAATTCCTTTATTTGTGGAATTTGTAGGATTTTGAAGATTTATTTCATAAAAAGGAATGAAATTCAACATTTCAATTTCACCAGATTCCTTCAAAATCTACGAATCAGATACAGGTAAAACTCTACAATAAGCTAGTCCTAGATCAAAAAACCACCACTCTTATCCATTAAGTTCGTTACCCTAAATTAATGGTGAAAGATTATGAAATGTAATTTGTTGTTTGTCGGATGATCGTTGTCGCTGCATCGACATAGACGATAGATGAAGAGATAACAAGTCGACCTTGCGGTTGACATCACTTATATGGATATTGAATACATTGAGAATTGAGATTTGAGATTTTCCTTCTTTTTTTTTATTAATCTCGATATCCAATTTCTTCAAAATCAAATTTCTTTAACAGATTTCATTTCATCCAAAAACATTCTACAAACCAAACGCCACCTAAAATTCTGAAAATTTACGCTAATAACGAATTTATTAAAGTGATTTCATTTTTTAACCATCTTAGAAACCCTTTTCCACAAATAGTTAAAGTTCACAAAAAATGTATAAAATGAAAAGCAAGAAAAAGAGATATACAGTAAATTGAACAACTAATTATAAGAATGTAAAGTGTAATTTTTTTAATCAATTAAAAACTTCACACAGAAAAAAAAAATTCTACGGTCTTTTTTTTTTTCTGCGTAAAGTCCAATTTTTCTACGTAATTTTTTTCCTTACGCAGAAACTCATTTTCCTGCGTAATTTTGTTTTGTAAACTTTGACTATTTGGGAAAAAGATTTCTAAAATGGCTAAAAAGTGAAATCACTTTAACGAATTGGCTATTTGTGTAGATTCCCGATGAAATTCTTGGATTTTGAGTTGCCTGGGAAGGGAAAATTGGGAGACCGAAGATGAACCGCAAGCCGCCTTCAACAACCGTTGACAGTGAGCGGATTTAGATCGAAGAAGCTCTTGCCACTTCTCCATGACATCAAGTTTGCTTAAGAAACCTACCGCCACTACTGTTTGTGAATCTGTAGCTACCTCTATTTTTAGAATAACCTCTAATCCATGTCATTTGATATGTCATCAACTAATGTTGATTTATTTGGAATGTTATATTAGGATTACCAAAGCCACTTCAGCATTTATAGATTATCAAGCACCGAGTGACCTTGACTGGTCTAGCCTTAACGTCGTGTTCTCAAATTTGGAAAGAAAAAGAAGAAATTTTTTATTTGTCTTCTTGAGAGTGAATAAAATAAAGGGAAAAAAAAGGAAGAGATTTTCATGTTCATGAGACAGAGAGAAAGGAAATACGTCATTTTGCCAATTATACCCTTATTTATTTTACAGGAGATTTGTAATTAATAGATAGAAGTATAATTTTATAAATATTTTTGATTTTTTTAAAATTATTTCCCTTCGTCTCCCTCCCTCCCTCAATAATAGTGGTAGAACTCATTTTGATCCATATCATCATCGTTGCCGTCGTCGCTATCGAGCACGTATTGTACGCTATCGAGCATCATAAAGAACATGTAATAGAAGTTGCAAATAAAAAAACAATCGAACGAAGAAAATGCACTAACAGAGAGAAACACAAAACTTGCAGCAGGGAGATGACGAGAAGCATATTCGACTACATTGATACGATGTGAATAGAATTCACGAGGTTTCAGTGGAAAGGTTTGGGAGTTTAAACTGATATAAAGAGAGAATAAAGGTCTAAAAGAAGTTACTAGAAAAATGATTTTAATAGTAATCATTAGTACAACTCCGAAGAAAGGTTGTTTGGCACAATATAATGGTTTCTCAACGATGCATTCGCTCAAACAAAAAGTGTGGAATAAAAAATGCTTGAACAACACTATTTATTAACGGGTTGGATTCCGGTAAAAAAGGAAGTTATGGTGAGAAGCGTAAGAAGAGATCTCCACCCTTGAATCAATCTTAATTGAATGTCAAAACTAATGAGGTACAGCAAGATGCACTGGATCAAATTCCCTTCTAAAGCACAATTCATTCGTGACATGATTAAAAGTAATCAAAGGTTCAGATCGCTTCTTTAACAAATTTGGTGGAAAAAAACATACTTTTAATATTAAGTTTGTTGGTAAGAATCTGTCACCTAGTAAGCTTTAACCGGGTAAGATTCAAGATTCTGAGTCGTGGTCACCGAGTAAAGTAAGTAACTCGGTAAATGCTTATTCGGTTAGTGTTTGGTAAACAGCCACTTGGTTTGTATTCGGGTGTACATGTGTAATATACCTTCCAACTACACATACAGAAGTAGATTTATTCAATAACAACAACCATCAAAAACAAGTTCTATGAAGCAAACTGATTCAGCCTTACCTAAAACCAGATGCTTTCAAATTTTGCTTCTTGGTTTACTAAACAACGAATGTCGTCCTTCTGCAATTATTTCTGCGGTTGCTTTGTTCTTCAGAACAACAAGAGTACCGTTATACGCCCCTTTTCCGCCCAAAAGCTTTGCGCTGATCTCCAAATCATCCTGCCAACAAGGTCTCTTGTCCAACATAAGCATATAAACAAAAACCAATCTAAATTGGTTCGACACTTATCGGTTTTTTGGGCAAAAACTATGTAATCATCCAGATAGATGACCATTAATAACAATTTACGACTGTTTCATGATTCATACTATGAACCATCATCGATGTTGAAGTCATAAATCAACTAGACACAGACCATCAAAGATATATATATATATATATATATAGGGGAAGGTTCAATAGAAAAGGTAAAAAGGATGAGAATGTATGAATACATGATTCATATGTAAATCATCGGCAAACCCAAAAAAGATCAATTTGAAAATGCATATGTGAACCTAAGTTCTCTTACAGACCTTTTTACCAATTTTTCACATAATAAGTGAACCCACGTTCCCTTTTACCAAGGATTCACATATGAATCATTTATTCATACATTCTTAACATTTTCCCATTTCTTATTTGGACCTTCCTATATGTATTTCTTATATATATAGACTTGCGATCATGTGAGACCAAGGGATTTTCGTGAGACCCGTAAGACCAATTCTCAACCTGTGGATTAGATCTACAATCTGAACATTCATAATCACAAAATTACCACGAGACTTCTCAACAATCACAAAATTGCCACCGTGCAACTTTAGACCATTAAATCATTAGCTTATAAAGTTGATCAATGAACATAAATTGGTCTACGATTCTTACGAAAAACCTTCGTCTCACATGAACCCAACCCAACTCAATGTATGTATGTGTGTATATATATATATATATATATATATATATATATGTATATATATGAAGGAACCTCCTGCATCTATAAGGGTTTTAAAATTCATGAAGTTTCACATATTGTAACATGGTATCAGAGCGAGCATGTATCTATAACCATTTAAACTTGTATATATGTAGAACCTTAACAGAGATAGGGTATCACATATCCTAACAATAGGAAACATGCAATTGAACAAGAGATTGAGATTGAGATTGAGACTGATTGATTAAGAAATGCTGAAAGTGGTAAAGAACTTACATTGATTTTGGCAGTAGAAAGGTAAGAGATAGACATATCCACAGAAACATTCATAGGTACATCCTTCTCATAGACCATAGTCGCACCAACCTCATCTACTAAGCTCGCAATCGCACCTACCGCAAGATTTCCATTTCTATCCTGATTTAGGGGGAAAAATCACAATTAAAACTCAGCAAAACCTAGCAAATAAATCGTCTCGATTAATTATGATTGAAAAGGCAACTCAGAAGGCTTAAACAACAACATAATGGAAATGAAAAACTAATCGGAGTGTGAAATTGAATTGAAAGAAATGGAGATGGGGTTCTAACAGTAAGGCGATCGGGGACTTTGAAAGTGCAAGAGATAGAACCGGGTTGGAATCGGTCAAGTCGTATGCCTTTGAGGGTGAACTCTTCGTAGAAGCTGTGGAAGGCTTCAGGCCGTTGGGGAGGGACGGTGACTCGGGCGACTCGGTCGGAATCATGCTGGGTTACTCGTAGAAACTCTCTCGTCTTCTCCATGGACGACTCCATTCTGTCTTTAGGAAATAATACACCTTTGGAAAAAGATAATTATATTTAAGATAGTTATATTTACCTGTGTTCGGATTACTTATAAAAATAACTTTTTGATTTATTCTGGTGTGACATCGGTAATAATTATTATGTGTCCCATAATACGATCAATCTTCAATATTAACTATGAATTTATAGCAATCTTCATATTCAACATTAAGAATAGGGTCAAACATTAAACCCTCTAGTCAAAGTCAACATGACCAACAAAGTCAAACACGTTTATATTACAATTATAGAATTTCAAGACGAATACAATTTAAGACTAAAATTCAATCATAACAAGCATTTTTGAGTGTTTGGATAAACAACTTATACTGGTGTCAAACTGGTAATAAAGAGTTTTTGAAGAAGTTAAACTCTTCTAACTTATAATAATTTGATAAGTGTTTTTGTAGAAAGCATAAGTTGTTTCAAATAAGCAATTCCAAACACCCCCTTAAGGACGATTACCAAAAGCTTTTTCCATGGTAACGCGCCGGGATGGGGGCGGGGACCTGAATCCCAGTATCCGTCTCCAATTACTTATCACATTCTCATCCACATCCCCAACGGATTTAATTGATTGATTTTTTTTTTCAAGTTATTTTAAATTAAACATGTGAGAGATCATACATGTTTAAATCTCAAACATTTTTAATAAACCTAAAACCAAAAACGAATTTAATTTAATACAAAAAAAATCACAACATATATAAGAACTAATAGCCTAAAACAAAAAAAAATCAATTTAATTCAAAAAATGTAAAGTCATATGTACAAAAGATATTGAGTAACATAAAACTATATCGAGTAATATATAAAACTTATCGAGTAATTGTATTTTGACTTGACATCCAAAATATTACATATGAACATTCAAAAAATAACAATTTTAGATTATAAACCTTGTTAGAAAATTATGAATTACCTTTAGTTGAAATAAATAATATATATGTGTGTGTATATATATATATATAATTTATTAATTAATATATATAATAGGTACGGGACGGGACGGGGCGGGGAGTACGTTCCCCATCCCCGATTTAGTGGGGAATTCCCGTCCCGGGCAGAGGCGGTTGGATCGGGTTCCCCGACGGGTCGGGACCCATTCCTATGCCTAGTTTTTTCGTTCATTTTCCATTAAAAGACTATTATTTGTAACGATAAAATTGTTTGTATAATAACAAATAAGTTGTTGTTCGGTTATTATGTTGAATAAGCGGTCTGAATATCAGAAATGACCATTTACTCCATGATAACAGATAAGTTGTCGTTCAGTTGTTATGCTGAATAAACGGTTTGAATATCAGAAATGACCATTTTACTTCAACTTCATATTTTTATCTAATAATAATAATAATTACTTGATAAAATGTATTTTGTACAACAAGGAATAAGAAAAATACAATACAACCCTCTGATTCACTGGCCATCTTTCTCCTTCGTCTGCAAATTCGTAAATCAACCTTTAAAGTATTTGGAACGAAGTACCAAAATCAATCTTCACATATCATTATGCTTCATGAATTTCCACCAGCAAATCAGGAATTACAAACGTTTGATTTCAAAAACATATCAGGAATCAACGAACGACAAATCAGTAAAATAAATCGAGAAATCAACAAAGGGTTGATTTCAAAACAGATCGTTCACAAAATCTTGATTTCCCGATTTCAAAATAGATCCAGGTTTACAAAGAACAGAGATTTACAAGCTTAATAATAAAGAAGGGAGATGATCGATGGCGAGGAGAACCACAGCCAGAAGTAGAAGTTGGTTTCGATGCAAGAAGACAAAGAGGAAGGGCGTGTTGGTCTTGATGCAGGAAGACGGGTGGGAGGGGAGGTCTATAGTGGTGGTGTGGAGATGATCGGTGATGAGGAGGGTGGCTTGGAGATGACCGGCCAGAAGGTTTACGACGCTGGAAGAGATTCCAATGAACTTTTCTTTTGTGGAGTTGGTGTTTAACAAGGGCATGTTTGGAATAATTATATAGCTGAATGTAAAGGAGACATCTACTTTGGTTGAGCGATTAAGTCATCGGTTGGGCGATATAAGCCACAACCGAACAACTATTTTATCGTTGAGTGAATAACTCATATAGGCTATACAGTCCATTAAGCCACAACCGAAACCTCTTACCACCTTTACCGGCCAGTAAAATAATTGTTGGCAAGGGTCTCATGTTCTGTAATCATCTCTTTATGAGTAAACGTATTCTTTTTTATCTATCGGGTAAAATTATCAATCCTTGTTATGTCTATTACTTGATAAAATTATTGGTATTTGTCATGCTCATTCGATAAGGTAAATGACTCGATAAGCGTTTGGCAAACAACCCCTAACAAGTCATGAGATCGTGCCATGCATGTTCACGTAAAACATTATAGCATCTTACAAGAACCTCATTTTTGTACTTTTTTATCATGTAAACTTAATAAATTAAGAACTAACATTAGTTACTAATAAGAACCTTGTTTTGTGAAATACGAATATAAAAATCAATAAAAATATTTAAAAAACTAACAAAATATCATTTTACACTAAATTTCAAGGTAAGAACGAAAGTTCTTAGGTTCTTGAATAAAAACTTAAAAAAAATATGAGTGATTTATCATTTATATGATCGCTCTATCACTCTCTCATGATATTTTTTAGAAGTTACTACACTTTTTACATAATTGAAAGGTATTCGCACAATGCAGCGAGATAAATCTTGATTTTAATGTTTATTTTTTATTATTTATCTCTATCGATATAATACGATTTTATGTGGTTTTTGAGAAATCGATAGTGTTTTTATTTTTTAATGAAATATAAATTTGAAAATAGCATATAAAAAAATCGATATTAGTATCAAATTAACTATTTAATAGTTCTCTTTTCTTTGGTATAAGTTATTTAATTCAAAATTTTATTATGTTTCAATTTAGATTTAATACCAAAGTAATTTATTTTTTGTTTAATAATATAATTTTTTTATAAAGATAATAATTAAACATTATGTTAGAACTCAATGATTATCTTAATTATATTTTAGATTTTTTACGTTTAAAATGAATGTTTATTCTGTATTTAATTATGTTTATCTATAGTTAGCTATACGAATTTAAAAATGGAGCTTTAATAAGTTGTATTTGCACAAAATTACTTATACTCTTAAATTTTAAATAATATATATTAATAAACAATATTTTATGCATAAAAAACTTTCAATAGTGTTACCTTCCTTGATCATGACAAAGTTTTCACTTTTTTTTTTTTTATGATGGAGATTTAAATTAAAATTATTTATAACCTAGTACCAATTTAAGCATTTTGTATATTTATATTAAAATTAAAAAATATGGCAAAATGACTAAAAAGACCCCGTATTTGAGTAGCATGTGAAAGTACTTAACGGCTCAACTTGACGGAAGTTAAAGGGATGGACGATCTTTGCAAGAGAATTTAAAGGCAAGGGGTCTGCTATGAAATTAGAGCAGTAATGACAATTAATTTCAATAAAAGTAAGGGATGATTTATGTAATTCACGCTAAAATATTTTACTTAATTAATTAATTTTACTTTGTATTAACTATTTATGTTATCTATACTATATTATAAAACATTTGACAAAAACTCTTAAAAACTATTTCTTATGCATGAAATACTTTTTATTGATGCATATTACTTAAAATTCAAGATTACAAGTAAATTTTGCAAAAATATAACTTATTAAAGCTCCATTTTTAAATTCATATAACTAACTGCAAATAAATATAATCAAATATAGGATAAACATTCATTTTAAATATAAAAAATGTAAATTATAATTAAGATAGTCATCGAGTTCTAACAGAATTTTTAATTATTATTTTTATAAAAAATTAAATTATTAAACCAAAAATAAATTACTTTGTTATTAAATCTAAATTAACGTATAATAAAAAAATTGAATTAAAGAAGTTACACAAAAAAAAAACGATAATTATTAAATAGTTAATTTGATACTAATATCGATTTATTTTTTTCAAATTTTTATGCTATTTTCATATTTATATTTCATTCAAAAATAAAAACATTATCGTTTTTTCAAAACCACATAAAATCGTATTATATCAATAAATAATAATAAAAACTAAACATTAAAACGAAGATTTATTTCGCTGCATTGCGCGATTACCCTTCTAGTTTAATAAAGTATTGACATCAAAATTATAACAAAAAATATTTAATGATTACATCCTCGGGGGAAACCTGCTGATATCTTTCAAAGCACTTTCTAGTATGCGTTTTAGCAGGCTAGTTTTGGGCAGGATGCATACACACAAACCCACTTTCAGTTGGATTAGAAATCAAAGAATATATAGATTGACTTGTAGCGACCTCCTCTTTATTTGGTAATAAATATATTTTCAAATTTTGTTTTCGATGATAAATGTCAATTGAGGGCTAAGAGTTTAGATTAAGCCGTTAATTATATTCGTATTTAATCCCCTCTTGTGAAATGAAAATGGTAGCTGGATTCCGTCAAATACCTCTTGTGGTTCATTCTTACCCGAAAAAAATACGTGTTTCCTTTATGTTCTCACAATGAACCTATCATATTTAATGGTTTATTGTACTTTGTTACAGGTTTATTGATATATCGATAGAGAAATAGTATATTCCTTTTATTTTATAAGTGCAAGAACTTGGTTCAAAACATTAATTAAAGACTTATGGGCCATTTACTGAACGCTTACTCGCGTAAGCACTTATCAAGCTTCGTTACCATACCGGATGAATATGGTAAGGGCCATGAATCTTACCTGATAAGAGCAAAACAAGGACCAAAAGTCTTACCCGGTAAGTGAGAGTGACAGCTCTTACCACGGTTAGTGCTTACCGGGTAAATTGTTGCATACGATACTGTTTTCGTGGACTAAAATCTTATCCGGTAAGTAAGCGATAGTGTTGAATTTTACGAGTAAGCGTTTACCGGATAAGTGATTAGGTAAACAACCCCTTAATCATACAAAAATATAGAAGTCTGTTGAGTCTTTTTGGTTTTAAAAAATTTGAAATTCTATTTGTAACATTCAGTTGATTTTCGATCGTAAGTGGAGTTAAGTTAAGAAGCGTAAGAATGAATCTTTATCTTTGATGTATGTTAGGATGAGATACATCGGGATAAAATGATCAATCCTATATCAAACATGATTCCTAGGGGAATTTGAGATTAAAAAAAATTCGGTTTGGGTTTTTTTGAGAAGAGAAAAATACCATGATTCTTTTTTGGAAAGAGAAAAATACCATGGAATCATGGATGGTCTGTAATAGCGTCACCCAGGGCAAGCTCAACCTCCAGATCCAACCTCGCTGTTCCAGTCTCCCAGCGACGCTACTCTCAGTCGCCGGCGGCGGCGCGATCAAACTTCTCACCCGTTTTCACCTTTTTGCTCTACGAACTTTGCCTATTTTTGTGTAAGCTTTCCTTTTATGCTTTTTAATTTCCAAAAATAACTAGTCCAACGGGTTTAGTTGTTCGTTTAGTTCACAGTAAAATTCTTTAAGCCTGTTATTTATTTCGAATTTTCTTCTCTTATTCTGTTTAATTAAGGCTCCGTTTGTACTGTTTTATAGTGAATAGTGTTCTTCACATGTGTGAATTTGGTTTTGTTAGTGGTTTAGGGTTCATAAAAAATTAAAGATAGGAGATTGTTATTGAAGTTTTGCGATTAAGCTGTTTGATTGCTAGAACTTGTTCATGGAAAAGCAATAATCAAGCCAGCTTTCGTCCCGTAATATTCCTTGCTTCACCAACTGTGTACACTCGTCTGAAATTGAAATCAAAATTGAAATGTTTAGTGAAAAAGGAAATCATAAAGGCCACAACCTGCTTTTTTGGAGCTCAATTGCCTACAGTAGGCATTAGTATACATATTTTTATTGGCTTTTTGGCCTGGATATTTGTTTTTTAAAATTTCATTATCTTCTACTCTGGTGCTTATATGAAAGGGTTCTGGTATCGTTTAGGTAGATTACTGGCTAGTCTCTGGTGCATAATGATATTTTCATGTTTGTGCATCTTCTCTATAATCATCAGCGGAACGGTACAGGATTGTGTGTGATCAAATTAAAGGCGATGCTCTTTTGGCTTGTTATGGGAGAGATGAAAGGGGGATTTTAAATTGCATTTCTTCATAGTTTGACAGACATTTTGTTGACTGGAGACAATGAGTGCAGTCAGTATGACTTTGACTTCCCTAAAATCGTAGCAACTGTGCAAGTTTCATTTCGCTTTATACGTTTCGGAGTTGAGTTCATTCCTGCAACTCTTGTAGGTTTTGAGGGGAGGAAGATTAAGATACGATTATAAGAATGTCTTGCATTAAAGGCACATTTAAGTTGCAATATTTGGCTATTCACTTTATTATCCCCATCCCAAACTTAGAAGAGTTACAATTGAAAACAAGCCATGTCACGACGACTCGTATAGCGGTGGTCATATATTGGCTTCCCTTGATTCACTTGATAACGCTAAGTTTTCTTGGCTCAAGGGTATTATGGGATGTTTACATCCAAGCATACTAGTTTTGATGTTCTTTTATTTTGTCATTTACTTTATTCCCTTATTAAGAAGATCGTAACCCCACCAATGATCTAACATTTGCCATATACGTCTAATGTCCAGTGTAAGTATGTAAATCTTTTAAACATAATCAGTCATCTTTAACTCCATGTTCTGCTCCTATTGCATTCAGTGTCGGGAGGAAACCTTTACGATATCTGCCACAACAATCATGTTGTGAAAGCAGCAAATCGCTTGGGGGCTGTTTACAAACACTTACCAACAAGAGTTACCACCCTCCCTTACGGCCTTACCTTATCGGGTAACGTTATCGGCCATATGTATTGTTGAAAGTGTCTCTTACCTGGTAAATGCAAACTGCGTAAGAGTCTACTCCCTCTCTTACCAGGTAAGATTCTCGGTCCTTACTATGCTTCTTGCCGGGTAAGATTCTCGGCCCTTGCCATGTTCATCCGGTAAGATAAGTGACACCTGGTAAACATTTGATAAGCAGCCGCTTAGTTTTACTTGTACATAGATCCCCCAGTCAAACATAGTTCCCTCAAAGCCATTAAAATGGAACTGTGTCTCCTTTCGCAACGTCAAACTTTTCAGACAACCATAAAGGATTACTCCTCTAACCAATGAAAATTTCGATGCTTGACTCAACACGTGGTTTAAGAAAATTGTTTGACTATTCACAGAATACCCGAAAAATAGCCTTACAAAGTCCCCACTACAATATGATGAGAGGCTATTCCTCCCGAAATATTCTATGCCAAAATCAATAGCATCACTTTTTCTTGTATTGATTATAATGAACAAACAATTAACCTGACCATGATACTTTTCTGAGAAAAGGAAATGTTTCTATTTTCATGGGATTGTTGGAGTAATTATTTCAACCCAAATAATATTATTGTGTTTGCATAGTAATGCTGAGGGCAGAGCTTAGGGTGTGCAGAAAATCATCTGATCAAATTACAAGTTACAACCAACCAACCAAAATTAGATTGGATTGGATCAAAAATTTTACCATCCATAATGGATTGGTCGGTTGTTGAATAATAGTTCAAAATCCAATTACCATCCTTGTATCAAGGATGAAAGATTTATTTTATGTGATTTGTATCCAGTAGTTTTGCATACCAGGCTTGTTTTTTTCTTCTTCTTATGATTTGCACTTATAAATTATGGTGGTCGCTTGATTTATAAGGAGATCTATTTATATGTAGTTTTTTAATTGAAAATGTATGAATGATTAGTTCAAAATATAGGATTTTTTGACCCAATCCTGTCCAATAAGTTACAAATAGTAATATCCAAAATTAATTATATTTGAGCAGTTGTCAAAATTATTGGATCAGTTTCGTCCAAATCCAATGAATGTGAACCGATGAACTACCCTAGACAGGAGCCACATAGAGGCCAGGGTGGGACTGGGTCATCCTCAATTCTTAAGGAAAAAATTGTATGGCCCAATTCATCATAGATGATCCAGGCTCTTTCTCATTTCTCATCTCACTTCAATGACCCAGCTCCCTTCCATTGATGACTTAGTGGCCAGTTCCACCCCTGAATAGTCTGCACAGCGCTGCCCTACGCAACCCCTGTCTGCTGTCTGCCCCCGATCCTTTCCCAAACACAAGCATCGCCCCTAACCACAACTCATCCGCTGATTCTTCAACATCAGTCGGGTCGGACGTCCACTTAGTTTCACCCAAGCTTCATCCTGGTCGTGGATAGATCACCCAGGTTCAGGTCCATAAGCAGTGACAATTCACAATTACCCTAGTTCATGGTAATAGTTTCAATTTGTGGATTTGGTTTTTGTGGTTTTGCTGGAGGAGAACTTGGTCTAAAATTGTAAATGTATGAACTTCGCCTCATTATGTGGGTGCTCCAAGATTTTCTTCTACACTCTTTCTGTTTTTGGTTCAGGTACTTGCTTGCCATCAAAATTGTATATTTGTATTTGATCTTAAGCAAGGTGTTTTTGTTCAAAGATGGGAGTTTTGACACCCCAACATAATCTTTGTAATCTAAAGAATTCATTAAGGGAAGCCTTAAGATTCTCATAAACCCAAGTGGTATGTTTGATCACAGACCAAACACATTCAAAAACTACAGGAACTAGAGCATAATATCAAAACCAAAACATTCCACCAAGCTAATTCTAGAATTTGACCAAGTCAACACATTTATAAGCTTGAGCTAGTTCATGAATCTGACTCAATATTAAGCATAAACTTGAAACAACGATCACTAAGTAAACCACTAAAACTGAAATCCAAGCTAATTCGGAAGTGGAATACCTTAAAGATCTTGAATGGGCATATGACATGGTGGTACAGTATTTTTTTTTTGAATCTTTGAATTGGGTTTTGGTTGTAGAAGTTCAATCTGTTTTAAACTGCAATTGTTTGTTAATTGGTATATCCATATATCTAACAGCCATTTATAGTAATTTAACAAAGAGAAATGGTGTTCCAAGAATTGCTATAGATCCCGAAGACGTGTGCTGATTTCAAGAATTGTTTGTTTGCAGAAATGTCCTTGAAGCATTTTCTTGGTGACATGAAGACTGAGGTTTTATTGGAACTTCTGGACAGCATTTCTTCTTTTTCAGGTCTGAAGTAAAACCCTCCTTCTTACATAATCAAATTTCTACACCCTCTTGACTCCTTGATCTTACTCGAAAGATTTCACTGAATCAATCTGGGAAAATGACAGAAATATTCAGCTACACTGCTTGCAGACAATTATCACAAATGTTCTTTGCAGTACTCTTCTTTCATGGTTCCGAATACCTTTTAGCAATCATATTTCATGGGAAATCCAATGTAACTCTTAAATCTCTCTTGATCAGCCAACAGTATGTCTTGGCAATGATCTTCTCTGTGCTAGAATATTTACTCGAACTTTACTTTTTCCCCGAGTTGAAAGAGAATTGGTGGATTAGCAATTTGGGACTTCTGATGGTTGTTGTTGGGGAAATCATAAGGAAACTCGCTATTATAACTGCTGGACGAGCTTTTACTCATCTTATTCAAAGACATCATGATGAACGTCATAAATTGATAACGCACGGAGTTTATAGCATTGTTCGCCATCCAGGGTACACCGGCTTCTTGATCTGGTCAGTTGGCACTCAAATAATGTTGTGTAACCCTGTGGCGACCTTTGCGTTTACATTAGTCGTTTGGAACTTCTTTCATAGAAGAATACCATACGAGGAGTATTTCTTGAGACAGTTCTTTGGGTCGGAGTACGATGAATTTGCTAAGCAGGTCCCTTCTGGGATTCCGTTCGTGAAGTGATGAACCAACATACTACCAATAGGATCTTTCTTGACTAAAGTTCTAACCTTTCTACCGTTGCACGTTGAAGCTCCGGATCCACTTTCTGCTTTCGGTTTTCAACCTGTAAGTTGTTTTTGTTGTAAATTTGTGTCTGGGAGTCTTTCATATGACTAATAGAATTTGCAATTTGGATTTACACAGTAGAAGATAAGTTGTTTGTGGGATCTTGATATTGATACTGAATTTGAGAACTGTTGCTCTTGTTGTTTAGATGTGTGTGTGTTAACATTTTTGGAATGGTATCAAGTGAATCTTTAAAATGATTGTATTGATATTTTACTTTTTTTTTCTATTAATCTGGATATCCAACCTGCTATGTGAGCCGACTAATCCCAGGGAGACCACCTGCTTTGCAGATAGCACGGAGTCACTGCATTTGAACCTCCGTGGCCCAAAGGGATTTTTATTCCTCCTTGGATTTGAACTTGGGACCTCCTGTACTTTTGGATCTTTTTACTTTCTTATTTTCTTATATATAATTTTATCTCTACAACAATTTCATCATTTACAAGCCTCTTTAAAGTTTTGAGTGTCTTTATATTCTCGTGTAAATGTATGCGTAAAATCTTACCCCCTCGGGTCTTACCTCTTTGTAAGATGTATTGAGTTCGTTTGTTTTTATCTGGTTTATTAAAGTTGAGTTGGTGTATGTTGTTTGGTGCCTCAAAATGACGTTAGTAGAGATTTTTAGGTATATAATCTTAAATCTCGGTGTCATCTTCTATGCCCGTCTTTTTATATTATGTCAGGATGCAGTTTTGTTTAATGGAACACCATATTTACAACGTTGTGAGAATTTGGTTTTATATAACACCACCACCTTTGGGTATTCAAGCTAGAGATCGAGTGTGGGTGCTAATTTAGTTCGTATTTGACTTTGGTTAAACTCTCTAATTTCCGTCAGTATACTACACGTCGTGTGAATAAGATTGAAAGGCCAATTAACTAGATTTCGTCACAGACCACGCTTCTCATTTTTGAGTTACTGTCCAAGGACGACTTGAAATTTTGGATTTTGATTTTTGACGGACTTTGGAACTTTCTGATTCAGGGAACACGAATAAAAACTTAATGTATTTGGACATATTTTTTTAATTGGGCCAAAAAATTGAGCCTACAACATCAAAACTAAATATAACTGATTCATGTGTACTTGGACGGTCGATTTGGTCCAAATCACTAAAAAAGGTTCAAACCGCAAACCGGACCGGATCAAATGGTTTGATTATTTTTAGACCAAACTGGACCATCAATCTGCTCATATAATACTCTTAGAAAAGGACAGCTTGGACCGTCTTATGGGGTTGTAAATTCCTTTTAGTTATTTAGCCTTAAATCGAGTTTTTGATTGATTTTATTACGTATAATATATGTATAAATTTTACTTTATGAGTGCGGATATAGGTGTTTAAATTGCCACTCGTCTTAGTAATATCCTTGAAATTGTTTTACGTATGGTTCTAAATAACTCGTTATGGCGCGTTATGTCGTCAAGGTTTGGGTTCGTTGCCATGTTAACCCCTATGGCTATGTAATGCGTTATGGCGTGTTACGACACGTTATAGCATATTACGATGTGTTATTTTGTAAGGTGTGAGGTTACTTTAATATATAACTTGAGCAATAAATGATAATTATATGTACGGGACTAAGACTTAAATAAACGTAAAAAAGAAACTTAAAACTAAAACCTTAACTAGGTAAATATCTACTCATATTCCTCTACACGAAAAGCCAAACAAGAATTCTTTTAAAATTGTAAAAAGTAATGAGTAGAAATTCAATTGATTTAATCTTGATTTTGCACACTCTTGATATCATTTTCTATAAGCTCTATATATATTTGGTATCAGTGGTTCTTAATTTTTTTTTCCAGTTTTATTACATTTATGAATTTAATTTGTTCTAAGACATTATCCAAAACACTAACACATACAAAGTGATGGGTGGGTGGGTGGCTGTGTGGGGTGTGTGTGTGTATATATATATATATATATATATATATATATATATATATGGGCCTATTCAAGGGAGAACTAAGTTGTTTGTGGTAACTGTGAGAACCAATATTAACCACAAATCAATAGATAAATTAGGAAATTTATAAATTTGGTAATTTTAAATTAAAATCTTAATGAAAGGATATTTTTGGTATTTTAAAACTCTCATCTCTCCTCTCTTTTCTCTCCGGCCATCGTTCTCCGGCCTCCAGCCACCGTCCTCCGGCCTCCGGCCACCGTCGTTCGGTGATACCATTATGATACCACTGTGATACCCAAAAATATTGACTCTGTTAAACAAAAGATACATTGTGATACCTAATCATATATAAGATGCATAGTGATACCACTGTGTTACATCTTCGATCGACCACACAAACGACATCAATGTGATACCCAAGCACAGATATGATGCATTGTGATACCATTGTAGTATCACCGGAGGACGGTGGCCGGAGAGAGAAGAGAGGAGGGAGGAAAGTTTTAAAATACCAAAAATATCCTTGCATTAATATTTTAATTCAAAATTATAAATTTCCTAATTTATATATTGATTTGTGGTTAATATTGGTTCTCACAATTACCACAAACTAATTAGTTCTCATTTGATTATGCCCCTATATATATATGCCGCCTTAGGGCACGTCTTGAAAAATGTCATCGTTTCGTCGTAACTCGTAAGGCTTGAAGCTTGATCTCATCGCCATATCACGCCTTACGCCATTTAGAACATTGGTTTTACACAAACAGTATCAAATATCAGTATGATGCTATATTTATACATGAATAGTAAGACGAATAATCGTGTGAGAATAAGAGTTAAAGTGAGAATCGTAAGAAGAGATATGAACCATTTATCACTTTTGATCTTATCCCATCCAATGAATTGCGTTTGATATGGGAATTGATCAATTCTTGGTGCATCTCATTAGTGTTGATCCAATGATAGAAATCTTCTTATGCTTCTCGGGATGACTTCCATTTTCATCGGAGCTAAACCCTCGAATAGTAAGGTTTTGGTTCCGGTGAGAAGAAAAGTTATGATAAGAAGCGTAAAAAGAAATCTCCAGTCTTGGATCAATCGCAATTGAATGTTAAACTGTGCACCGAAAATGAGATAACACTATGAGGGTGTTTAGTATTGCTTATTTGAAACAATTTATACTTTTCTACAAAAGTTCTTATCAACTTATTATAAATTAGATTGGTTTAACTTATTCAAAAACTTTTTATTATCACTTTGACACCCGTATAAACTGTTTATTAAAACAATCAAAATGCTTGTTATCGATACCACAACGGAATAAATATTTTTTTTTATAAGCGATCACGACGGCACGTTTTATATTTTTAGAGGGTGTTCCGAGTTTGGATATAAATTCATACCTAATTGCTCTGTACCGTCGGAAGGAGAAACGAGAGAGATGAGTGAAAGAGAAGTGCCTCGGAGAGAGAGTCCGTGGGGATTGCCCAACGGCGACACCCGTCAACCGAAAGCTCACAGATGCAACGATCGTGTTGAAGATGTTGTTCAAGTTAGTTCCTAATCTTGCTCATTCCTCGTTTCTCTGATTTTTCTAATTGCTGTTGGCTTCATGGATGTGTGAATTTGCTTTAGGTTCTGTGATTGCTCTTCAAATGATTTATGGTTTTCTTTGTGATTTATTGAGAAACTTGTGGTTTTACCTGTTTGAATTTATGGTTGGGTGCATAACGATCCTGGGTCATAGTGTCTGATCAGAATCTTTTCAAGTTGCTCCCTTCTTTGGAGGAAGAAAAGAGCTACATTGTGATTTTAATGTTTAAACCTAGTACTTTGATACACAATTTTGACTTGGATTTTAATGCAAATTTAACAATTTTATCTTACAATACTTAGTTTAGTTTTCTCTAAACGTTTGAAAATCCCACATCAATTTAAGTCGAAAGGCAGGTTCTTAGTCCGCCATCAGGTTAAGGCCCATGGCGTTTGTGTAAGGAAGCCAAAAATCTTGTTTTTTGAAGAGGAGGTCCATTTGGCTGTATTTAGGAAGCTAAAAATCATCATTGGGTTATTTGTTTAGTCATTGCTGTATTGCATACTTACTAAATCTTAATCTTTTTGGTTGGTCTACACTTGATATGAGTGGATGGTTTGAATTTAGAAAGCTGCTGTTCGTCCTGTAATAATATAAATTTTCAAGGATGCTGTCCTGTGAATTAATACTTAGTTTCATATTCCTTGGTTGAGACATACAATTAAACTAAATTTTACAATAGGAGATTTCTGCTATACCATTCTGGTTCTTGAGATGAAATACGAATACGAATGAGATGAAATATCCTGGGTTCTTGAGGAGGAAAGATTCAGTACCAAGACGAAATGCTACCATATGTGCCTTTTTTGCTTGCTTGAATGCCCTTCGATATTCTCTTTGAGCCTATAGTAACTATCACCTCAAGGTAGAAGGGGGTGCTCTGGCTGCAGTAACTACAGATAGCCACACCAGTTTTCTGCAAGATACCTCATGGGTTATTTTTCATATCTATATTCCCAAGTAGTCTTCCTTGCTTTTTTCTATGCCCAGATCCTACTAAGATCTTCTCTTTGCAGTCAAGAACAACATTCAGTGAATGACCAAGCCACAAAGCTGCCGAGCCAGCAATTATGGCTGGGGTTATTTACGAGGGACCAGAGGTTGTTTGTACATGTTCTGTGGTTTGCTCCACTGCATGTTTGTGAGGGAGTTCGGGTGCAGATTTCATTGATGAGAGAGATGAGTTGATACAATTCATAGAATAGTGAATAATCTGGAGAAGTATATTACCTTCAACTTGGTTTGAACGTTCCCAACAAAGACAACACAGTTGTATTTAACTTTTACAGCTGATTTTTTCCATTATTTAAGGGTAAATCTAACATTTAACGAGCATGCTTTTTCAAGAGATAAATTAATATCTCCCAGGCATGCTTTTGCTATGCTTCTCTTGGACCCACTGGTCCCGTTATGATTCCTTGTTTTAGGTTATCCTTGGTCAGGGAACTTACTTGCCATGTCACTCATGTGTTAGTTTACTTGGATATATTTCTTAGTTAAATGATAATGAGAACATGGCTAGCATATATTACATTTAGGAGCCAACTATTTTGACATAAGAGCCTGCCTGAGCAAGTTGAAAGAGTGTAAAGAATCTCTGTTCTAGAAAGAATTAGTTTGTGTTCATGGGCTGAACTTTTGTTTCAGGTTGTTCTCTTTATATGTTTCTCAATAGAAGACCATAATAACATCAGGATTCAGGAACACATTCAATTTTTTTTTGAGCAAGCTTTATCATTTCTTTGCATACACTTTGCACAAGCGGAGGTCTTCATGAAAATAGCCACTCTACTATTCGGGGTAGAGGCTAGGTCTACGTACATCGCACCCTCCCCAGGCCCCACCTCTGGTTGGTACATGCTGAGTTTGTTTGGTTTGAATGATTGCTGTAATTTTAGTAGGATGAAGTGAATTTTTCTCTTACACTCGGGTGACTGAATCCTCCTTTGTCAAAGAACCATAACAAAAATGATTTTGTTTCAAATATTTGTATGCCTGATCATGAGCAACCAAACCGTTTGGAATTGAACACATGACATAACTTTTGGATTTGGATAAGTTTCTTTTCTAGAGACACAATGATCTTGATAGTTTCAAAATATATTCACCTAACTGCTGTGATTTCAATATCAAATAAAAATCTTGCACACAATTTCTACAGCACTTCAATTTTGTAACCTGAATTCATTTCATTTCTGTCGTATTTAGGCATGTTTTGAAGGTAACCCCTTTAAGACGGTTCCAGGCCCTTTCAAGCTTTTTTGGCAATGCATGCAGTCCAAACCCGGGTATGTCTTCCATGTTATGTTATTGCATCATTTGAATTTTCCTTGTTTACACTTCTTGGCTCATCTAAGAGAGTCATTGTACGTACCTTTCAAGTTTGATTTGTATGATGTTTTAGTCTTAGATAAGAGCAGAATTTATATTTAAGCTTTCGCAAATTTCCTTGGCTGTAGTTTGAAACAACGATTGGCTGTCGTAATGATTGCGGGGCGTCAAACTAATTGACATACTCCAACTTATACTAAATGCAAAATGTGGTCACACATGAATTTCCATTCATTCTTGAATCTTGACTAGTATTTTCTTTTTTGAAGTTCAGATAGGGTGTACAAAAAACTGTCAACCCGTGAAACCCACCCAACCCAACCCGCTAACAACCCAATTAAACCCAACCTGCCTAACCGTCAAACCACCCACCCGCCAAACCGATAACCCACCAATATATAATTTTTATAAATTTTTATTTATATATATGTTTATTATGTATATATATGTATAAATTTCATATAATTTTTATTGATATTATGTTTGTATTTCATTTTAGCTAAACATATAGGTTACCAAAAGAGATTCACGACCAAGAATGACGACAAATAATCTAATTAATAAGAGAAAATTATTGAAATCTTTTTTGCAGCAACAACAAATTGATATGTCGGAGAATATGAATGATTTTGATAGATATTTGGTTGACGAATCCATCAATCTAAATACCCCGTCATTTTATGCTGTACTATAGTGGAAAGAAAATGCTTAGTTATAGCATTTCGCTACAACAACATTAGATCTTGTAGGATGCCCAGAATGTCTAAGCGTCCTAATATGATACTTTATAAGACAAAACAAGAAAAATGTCTTATCTAAAAGAGTTACAATAAGTTTATAGGATGATTTTGGGCGTCTTAACAAATTCTATGACGCTTTTAAAATAAAATGTCGTATTAGTTATTTTATACGACGCGACTTGAAAAAGTGTCATATGAACATAGGTGTCCTATAAATAGATGAGTTTATGGGACACTTAAAATATTTCTATAAAATAACTAATACGACATTTTATTTAAAGATCATTCTAAAACACTTGTTGAAAGGTCCAAAAACGTCCTATAAACCTATTGTAACCTTTTTAGATAGTAGTTTTATAGTATGGTCTATAAACTTAAGTTTTATGAATTATTTCATTCGTCAAATTTTATGTAACTACTAACCCGCCAACCCAACCCAAACCGCCTCAACCCGCAAGCATTGGATTGAGTTGGGTTGGGTTGAAACTTTTTCAAACTACCATAATCGGGTTGGATTGTAAAAATGTTGTAAATCACCCACCCAACCCGCGTATACCCCTAAGTTCAGATGCACTAGGCAACAAATACATAGGTTAGAAGGAGGGGCATGGAAGAATGGAACTTATTATTATTTATTAATTTTTATACCCATAGTTGTTAAAAGCGCGCCTAAGACGCACCTAGGCTCTAAGGTTCAAGGTCTTGGGCTTTTTTCAAGTCGAGGCTCAACGTATTCACAAGGCTCACTAAGGCACTGCGTCTTGGCTGAGGCACCTTGTGGGCCTAGGTGCTCCTCATAAAGAGTTACTAAATATCTAGTTAAACCGTAAGATTAAATAAGTTTTCTCATCTTCTCATCTCCTAGATTTCTTAAAGAAGTGTTATTAAATAGATGACATAAGTCAAACCCTAATATTAAATACTAAGTCCTTAAATTCAAGCCTCCTTCTCTATAAAACAGACCTTAAAACTTCTCCTTCACGGCTCACGCTTTAAACCCTTTTGCCTCTATTGAAGTAGTGTTGGTTGCTGCATTAGAGACTTGTTTTTTGTAACTGTGTGTGAGTATGTGTGTATATATATTGATAAGATGCGCCTTGCATTCATGAGCCCTGCGTCTCACGCTTGCTCTTCGCGCCTAGTCCTCGGGATCCTGTTGCGCCTAAGTGCCCTGAGCCTTTAACAACTTTGTTTACACCTTTAGGTTATGTAAACTAAAATTATCATCACATTCTCTCCATTATAATAATATACAATTGGTTTATTGCAATAGATAAGAGGGTAAGAGTATGTGAGACTGCACCATATAATCGCTTGGTCCCATCACATTAGAGGGTAAGAGAAAACCCCAATGAAATAATAGTACTGAGTTTCTCAAGCTGGACTCATGGAGCTTGCTTGAGACCATATATTATTTTTTTCTTAATCTACAAAAATAACCTTTGGGATGAAAATATCAAGAGGAGGCTTCATGCATAGTATACTTCTTTAGTTAGATCACCCGTGAGAAATACGTTTTTGACGTCAATGTGATGTAATTGCCACTTATGAGCGGCTACAATCGCAAGATGATTATGGAATGAAGTAACCCTAGTAATTGGGCTAGTCTCCTCGTAATCAATACCATACTCTTGATTAAATGCTGTCATGCATCGGTATATAGGCCCAAGCTCAATATTATATTCTAGAATAAGTTTTTAGTATAAATAGGGATGTAGATGGTAGAAGGTGTTAGACGTGGCTTTAATTGTGTTAGTTTAGTTTTTTTTTTGTTTAGCATGTCTTAACTGTTTCCTATAAATAGTTGGATATTCTCTCTTTGTAAAGTTTAGTCTCAATTCGTAATAAAATTCCTGCAATTCTCTCTATATAGCCTTCTCTAAATTCTCAACAAATTGGTATCAGAGCCTAGGGTTCCTTCTATTGCTAATCGCTAAACTCCTTAGACGTTTTTTGTTTGGAGTCGCTTCATCGCTTTCGCTAATCGTGTTACAGTGGGAAATCGTTTGGGTCTATTTGGTGTTCGATTCAAGGTGGAGCTTCTCGTTTCTGAAATTGATGGTGTAAATCGTCAGATTCAGTAATCTTTTTCATGATCGGTTGATTTTCTGGAACTAAAATCAGCGATCGATTGGAGTCTGACATCTTGAAATTGACGATCAATTTGGTTTATGGAATTGAAATTTACGATCGATTAGGAAGCGTATCAGAAATTGGTGATCGATTGGAGGCTAGAAATTGAAATTGGCGATCGTTTGCAGTCTCACATTAGAAATTGGTGGTCGATTGGTGACAGGCGACTAGTGTTTTCGTTTCGGTTCAATCAAGATTTTGAAAATGCCTCCACAAATGATCAAGATTGACAAGTTTACAGGAAAGAACAACTTCAGCCTATGGCGAATCAAGATGAGAGCTCTCCTGAAACAACAAGGCATTTGGATTCCCTTGGCTGGTGAAAGGCCTGAAGGGATGGCTGAATTTGTATTTGCACAACAAGATAAGAAGGCTCACTCTACCATCTTGTTGTCTTTGGCGGATGAGGTGATTTATGAAGTTGCTGATGAGGAGACTGCTGCGTCTTTATAGCATAAATTAGAGAGCCTTTACATGACCAAGTCTTTAACGAACAAGTTGTTAAAACAAAGGTTATTCTCATTACGAGTGAAGGAGGGAATGCCTTTGAAGGAACATATTGATGAGTTAAACTCCACTCTTATGGATTTAAAGAATGTTGAAGTCAAGATTGAAGATGAGGATGCCGCCCTCATCTTATTGGTTTCGTTGCCCACTTCATATGAAAATTTTGTCAACTTGTTCGTTGTTGGTAGAGACACAATTACAATGGAAGAAGTTCGTTCAAGTCTGCACTCATGAGAGTTGTGACTTAAAGCTTCAGGAAGTAGTTCCGAAATTCAATCGGTTGGCTTGTCGGTGGTAAATGGAGATAGAGACAAAAGTAGAAAAAAGGTCGAGACAAAGGAAAAGGGAAGTGGAAAATTAGAGGCCGATCAAGATCGAAGACTAGAGGTCCAAGTGGAAACCCAAGGGATAGCTGCCACTATTGTAAAGAACCGGGTCATTGGAAAAGTGAGCGTCCAAAACTGAAGTCAAAAGGATCTGCTGCTGTAGCAAAAGGTGATTCAGGTTCGGAGGCTAATTTGGTGCTCTTGGTGGTTGATTGCAAAAGTCAGTAAGATGTATGGATTCTTGATTCCGCGTGTTCATGTCACATGACACCACATAAGGATTGGTTTAAAACTTATGATAAGATTGCAACCAGAAATGTCTTGATGGGAAATGACGTGCTGTGCAATGTTGTTGGAATTGGGTCGGTGAGCATTAAATTGCATGATGGGACTGTGAGAACTCTAACAGATGTTCGTCGTGTACCTGGGTTGAAGAAAAACTTAATCTCTTTGGGAGTGTTCGACTCAAAAGGCTTCAAGTACACCGGTGAGGGTGGAGTAATTCGGGTCACTAAGGGTGCATTAGTAGTGATGAAAGGAGTCAAGAGAGATACCTTGTATGTGCTGGAAGGTAGCACGGTTGTTGGATCAGCAGCACCAACCATTAATTCTGTAGAGTGAGTCAGAAATGACACGTTTGGGGCACATGAGGCTAGGGCATGTTAGTGAGAAAGGGATGGTAATTCTCAGCAAGGACTTCTTGGAGGTCATAGAGTTGCTGAATTGGGCTTTTGTGAGCATTGCGTCTTTGGAAAACAAAGGAGAGTGAGTTTCTCAAAAGCTGTCCATACAACTAAGTCGACTTTAGATTACCTACATGCTGATTGTTGGGTCCCTTGCAAGTTCCTTCACTTGGTGGTGGTCGTTACTTCCTCTCAATTATTGATGACTACTCTAGGATGACTTGGGTATTCATTATGAAGCATAAGAGTGAGTCATTGAGAAATTTAAAGATTGGAAAGTTCTCATTGAAAATCAGGTTGGGAAGAAGATAAAGCGGCTGCGAACGGACAACGGATTGGAGTTTTGTTCAAGTGAGTTTGATCGGTTTTATAAAGACGAAGGAATTGCAAGGCATCGAACAGTTAGGCACACTCACAGTAGAATGGAGTAGCTGAAAGGATGAATAAAATGCAGCTGGAAAGAGTGAGATGTGTGCTGTCAAATGCTAGATTGAATAGAAGTTTTTGGGCAGAAGCGTTAAACACGGTTTGCTACTTGGTGAATAGATCCCCGGCAACGGCAATTGATTGTAAAACTCCTATTGAGGTGTGGTCCGGTAAGCCGGCTGATTACACGGGCTTAAGAATATTTGGTTGTCCTTCATACTACCATGTTAGTGAAGGAAAATTGGGACCATACAGACAACTTTATCCATACAGGTCTTGATAGAAAACGAACCGAACAACCCCCTACTCTAATATGCCAAACGACTATGTAGAGACTCCATCTACAAATTGATTAGATGTTATAAAATTAAAGCTAAAGAATCTTAAGGTGCAATTATAAGAAATATTCAAAGACTTGATAAAAAACCTAACATTCTTATCATTTTCATGGGACATGTTTTTTAAACTCATCATGGCAGAACTCTTTACCGTACCCAACATCATGCATCTCTAGACAAGACTTCTTAAACTGAGACAAGATCTAAACAATGACATTCCTAATTTGGAACAAGAACAGACTTCTACGAGGACTCGTCCTCACTTCTGTTCAAGTACGCAATATGAAACATATCTAAACAAGAAACATTCTTGTACTAAAACAAAAAGCATCACACTTCTTAAAATGGAACAAGACCAAACTCACTGTGATGTGGATGAGTCGAGTTGGAGTTTGAGCGCTCACTTCGAGTTTGAGAGCAAACTTTGAGTTCAAGTTGAAGAGGCAATTCGTGCAGTGGGCATGGAGAGGCAGTAGATGACGAGGTCAAGGAGGGGCTGTTTCTGGGCCGTGAGAATGGAGGGTGGATAGGTAGGAAAGTTAGAACTAGGGTTTTTGATTTTGATTTTTTTGCTGGATTTGTTATATTTTAAAGTTCTCATTGTATATGTATTATTAATCAGATGATGTTTGGATGGTCATCGGTTTGTTTTGGTCAGTTCTATATTGCCATCCTGGAACCGAACGCTCAAGTTTTGATGGAGTCAAATTCAGCTTTAGCCTTGGAGATAAGAACCTCTCATGCTCCACAGATGGCTTCGACTTTCTTTCAGTGTGCTTCATTGGGGGTGATAGCTGAGAATAGGCTGAAGCCTCGCTGTGGCGGCTAGGGCGCTTGGCAGGTTGCTCAGCAATAGCAGCAGGTGGGTGTTGGAAGGCTAAGCCCCGGTGGTCGGAGAACTTGTTCGTGGACTGAGTTGGTGCTTCAGGGCATATTAATATTTAAGTTGAGGGTTGGGGACCCTCCTTGTCAGGGAAAATCATGGTCAGAGGATGTAAATGTAAAACCTCCTGACATTCTGTGGAAGAGGGAACAGGAGAAGGAGGTCGTTGTGGTGTTGGGTGCTGCGGATGGAACAGCGGTGTCAGGGGAGGGGGCTGGGCTTGCAATTTTTTCAGGCATGGGTGGCACCCTGGCATCACGTTCAGCAAGCATTTTAACTCTCACAATGGTTGCGTGCTAGGTATCTACGTAGAGAAGAAATAGAAGAGAAATTGCAAAGGTGAGGTGTTTGTGAAATATGTTGGGATATAGAAGAATAATGGATCAAATCATGGGATGCGAGAGGTGATGGGGAAGTGGGGAGTCACATCCCTGAAAAGTGAAAAGCATCTGACAACGTAACAGTCAGTGGTCAGCGTGCCTCCTTTTCATGAACTGGTCTTCTGTCACCATGCTGCAGCCGGTTGCCTCTGAGAATAGAGCATGAGGGGGACTGCATGGAGGTTGAAAGATGGGTGTAGCCCTATTTTTTTTTTCTCTCAATGAAACAAACATTGTTGCAAAGGTCTCATGGGTATTTAAAGGAAGAAGGCTACATGGAGAAACCACCCAGGTTTGATGGTCCTCTTGGGAAGGTATGGTAGCTAAAAAAACCCTTCTATAGCTTATAACAATTATAAAGGCCTGGTTTAGTCGACTTGCCAGTTACAACTAGAGGCTATAGTCAGGGACTTCACGCACACAACAAAAGGTACAATATCCATCCTCATTGTATATGTTGATGACGAATCTAATTCTGACAGACATCAATCACTGGGAGATAGTTTGAAGAACTACCTCCGCAATGAACTTTAATTAGAAGATCTTGGTTTTGTGAAATACTTTTTGTGCATGGAGGTTGTTAGGAGCGAGGCTGGGATTGTCATCTTCCAACGGAAATATACATTAGATCTACAGGAGGAAACTCGTATGCATGGACATAGACAGGCTAACACACCCACAGAGTTGGAACCATAAATTGGGTGTTGAAGAGATTAACGGGGTTTATCTTTCATGCAACGCGAAATATTGCTTTGGCGGTGAGTTTTGTTAGCCCGTTATGCATGGCTCTAAACAAAAGCACTAGATGCATTATATAGATGATTGTGATACTTAAAGGGGATTCCTGGCAAAGGGTTATTTTTTCAAAAAAAACACAAGACAGATGTGGAAACTACACCGATGCTGATTATGCAGGGTCATCCATTGATGGAGGTCAACAAGCGGCTATTGTACCAATGTATGGGGAATTTAGTAACATGGCGCAACAAGAAGCAATCGGTGGTGTCTTGAAGCAGCACATAAGCGGAATTTTAAGCAATCACTGATGGAATATGCAAGGGTATCCGTCTAAAGAGGGTGCTTGAAGAACTAAAGATCCCAACGACTACTCATATGAAGTTGTTCTATGACAATCAAGCAAATGCTAGCATTTTTCACAACCCAGTCCATCATGTTTGCACAAAGCACGTCGAAGTAGACCGACACTTCATCAAAGAAAAACTTGACAATGGCAGTATTTGTATGATGTATCTTCCTACTCGACAACAAATAGTAGATAATTTCACAAAAAGTCTTCCGACTACTAAGCTTCAAAATGCTATGATCCAAGCTTAACATGTTTGGTATTCACCTATTCATGCATCAACTCGAAAGGGGGGGGGGGGGTTAGAGTTAGAACGGAATTTTTAATGTATCATATTAGGATTAGCTAATCTATCCCTATTATTGTCAAGTTATAGTTGAAGGGATATATTGTAAACCCGTGTGTTTAAAAACCAAATCTTGCCAAGAAGTGAGAAGAGTTTGATGGCACAAAATTTAACTAGGCTCTAGCATTATAGTGAGTATGGGAAAAGCTTTAGCCTCAAATGTTCATCTGACTTGAAACATTCAGTCACTTTCAGGAAAAGTCTCAAGTTGTAAATGTGGGTCCTCAGAAGCAAGTCCAGAAAGTTAAAGATATCAAGGATTCCAGAGTTGATCAGTTAAAAACCAACCTATGTTTTGTCCACAACCCTTTAGCAATTTAGCCCATGAGACGATTACACTTTCTGAAATCAAGACTAACACCCGCTGTTCTCTATCCTTTATTTTTATAGCAGCAATCACATTGTCTCTCTCCTTCCTCCAACAATAGACCACAACTGCGCATGTCTCAGCATGATTGGTCCACTAAGTCGGCATAGTCTTTCTTCAAAACATTCCCTGTTCATCAAGAACTAAAACGACTACCCTACAACCTTCTCCAAGAACCAGCAACCACAAGATCCCTACAGCCTCAAACCCACTTTTTAGCAATTATGCACAGTAACATAAAGCAAAGAACACTCTCTAATTCTATTCCCAACTCACACACATACAGAAAGACACATATAAGCAAGAAACTCAAGGATTAGAGTGTAATAAACAAGGATGAAGATATGAATATGCACTTTTTTACAAGAGTGATCACATGACAAAACATGCACGACCCCAAACTCAGTGACTCGTAGGAAGGGGAGACACCATAAAGAGACCCATATGGATAGATGTTGTGGAGAATTGGTGTGGGAGGACGGCTGATGGTATAAACAGTTGTGAAGGCTGCTTCACCCTAGAAATTTTCAGGGAACCTTACTGAGATTAGTAAAGTGTGAACGGTGTCTAAAGACATTTTCTATTTTTCTACTGAGCTCTGTTGTGAAAGTTTTGCTTACTTATTATCAGCCTCAAGTACCGTTTATTTGAATGTGCAAGTAGCATCATCAACTTGATGATGATTCTATTTCGTGTTTTCTGTTTTGCAGGGAAGAACCTACCGAACCATTCTACTATTTGCAATTGGCACCGCCCACTAGAGAAGTGAAACTTGAGTAAGTGTCCTCTAAGATTACCGTGAAGTCAGTTGTGAGGTTGGTTTGTTTATTTCACTCGTCACTTGCTGTCTTTGACAAGTGTGGCGAAGGAGAGTAAAGTATCTTATTTTCCTTGATGTGAACAAATTAGGGTAAGTGCTGACCGGGATAAGATGTCAAATAAGTGCCAATAATTTGTTGTTTACCAAGTTCTACAGTAAATACTATATTTGATTATCATAAGAAAGATAAATCTCTGTTTCTTTTCGAATCGAATYGTCAATGATTTAAAGAAAATAAGCTAAATATATGGCTATGGTTGCCTTTTTCCTTGCCTAAAACAACTATACTTCATGAACGGTTAAGAATCCTGTTTGTATGTGCGTTATCATACTCATTCAGACTCTATTTTATTTAATAGCTTAGGGTCTCTTCCTTTTGATTCTAAAAAGCCTCTTCATAAGTGAAAAAGGGGGGGGGGGGGTCCGAGTTCCAACTAGGACCGTCATAGGAGCGTGAAGCCACTAAAGCTAGAGGAGCTGTTTTCCACCCTTAACCGTTGCACATGAAAGAAACAGGAACTGCCATCTTAATTCTTCTCGTGGAATTCGATCCACAAACCCACTGATATGGCTCATCAACATTTAACTATTGCATTTGAGAGAGGCGTAGAAGCTCAACCTTTGACTCAAGGGCTTCCACCACTTCGACTGATGCAGATGCGGTTCTCTCGTCATGAAAGAAGTAATTAAAGGCAAGTCCTGAGGACAAAATCCTTCAATAACAGTTAGCAGTATTGAACAAGCGATTCATCAGTTCAGGGAAAGAAAATGACCGCCTTTGGAAAAAAGAAAAAAAAAAGATTTGTTTACCAAAGCATTTTGTATCAAATGATGATTTAGTAAACATGACCATTGTACCCTTTCATCTGGAATTAGGGTTAAAGTAATACTTGTTGTCTACTTGGTTTAACCCGTCTTCGACCGTTAACTTTATGATATATGTGCGCAATAATATGAGTATCGATAAAAACACCACCACATATTCTAAAGTTTGAGAGAACATCTTTCTACTTTTTAGAAAAGTAATTTTCCAACATAAACTTTAATTACAAGTTTAAAATAAAATTTTAGATGTTACAAACAAAATTTCCTTTTTACAAAATTATTTTTCTTTAAAATAGTTGATTTAAAAAATATTTATTTTATATGAGATAAATGGGGGTGTTTGGTATTCCTTATTGAAACTGTTCATTGACTTATTCCGATGTGGTATCGGAGATAAACAGTTTTTAGTGTTTGGATGAGGAAAGAAAAAAAATGCTTATACCGGTAATAAGGAGTTTTTGATAAGTTACTCTCATCTGACTTGTCAAAAACAACTTGTTAGCATTGCAAACGAAACTACATTTTTACCTTTTTATAACCCTAAAACTAAATCGATTGTCTTGTTCTGAGTTGTTCTTCCGCTGCTGCTTGTTCACTTATCATTTTCTTGTAGAAATTGATGAAATCTTGAAGGTTTTACTCATCATAATGTCTATTGAATCACACAAATTCGTTCGTTTTCTGTGTTAATTTCAAGAAAATGGGTGCTAGGGGGAATTTTTGGGATTTACTTAAACCCTATGCTCGAACAGAAGGATTTATTTTTCTAAGAAACAAAAGGGTGGCCATTGATCTATCGTATTGGATTGTTCAGCATGAAACCACCATTAAAGCTCACACTCAAAACCCTCATCTCAGACTCACTTTCTTTCGTACCATCAATCTGTTCTCCACGGTAAATCGACCTTTTGTTTACATTATTTCTCGAATCTGTTGCGAATGCTTAAAAAGGCGAGAAATCATGGTCTTCTTCTTTTTGAAGACGAGGACGGAGGGGTGTCATTTTACATGTATAAGCAAAATTTGCTAAACATTAAAAAATAACTTATTAACTTATTACGTTTTGGTACCGCTATAAACTAATCCAAACACTTTTTATAAAACTCTAGTTTGACATCACATAAGTTGATAAACACTTTTACAAAAAAAAACACAAGTTGCTTTAAATAAACAATCTCAAACACCCTAAGACGAGTAAAATCAGTATAAGGATTTTATAAAATATTTGGAAAAACATTTAATGATTTTAAAGAAAAAAAATATAAAGATTTATAAGAATCTTTATTGAAAAATATTTTGTAAAATATTTTTTTGGGAGCATTAAAAAAATATTCTCGATCTGAGATATTTCATTAATATTTCAGCACTTTAACTTTATCATTTGATCAACTTTAGCTTTTCAACACTTCAAAATTTCATCTTTAATGTCTCAATGCCAAAAAGTTTCAACATTAACACGTTAGTGTCTCGGAGTTTCAACATCACTGCTTCAGCGCCTTATATTTTCATCATCAACATTTAAGCGCCTCAAAGTTTCAGTATCAACGTTCAGAGTTTTAGTACCACGTTTCAACACCTCAGAGTTCATTCACCAATGACGTCTGAGAGTTTGTTCACTAATGACGCCTCAGAGTTTGTTCATCATCACTTTAGCACCTCACCTTTCGTTGCATCAACACTTCGGCACTTTTAGTTTTTAGCTGTTTTCAACTTTTAACGAGTGACTTTTTAGCACTTCATTTTCTAAAACAAAATTTATCATCAGTTTTAGACTTTTGAGATAAAAAAAAAAAATACCGAATGATATTTTTCATCAACTTGACAATTTTGTATGCGCATTCTTATGACTACAAAAGCTTCTAAGATCATCAAATTTATTTTCGACCGAAATTTCTAAGATCTCGTCGTTTTTTGCATGTTTCTCGAGGTCAAACATGTTTCCATATCATCAAAACTTGAGAATGCAACATATGCATAATGTGGTTGCAACAAATGCGCCAACAATATATTATCCTACCAATTGTTCAATGCTATAACATATTTATCTCATGGCAAGTGTGTCGATATATCGAATATGATCATAAACGTTATTAGAATAGAAGTTTTAATAAATATTATGATTAAGTCTCCAGCAGCTGCAAAGCGGGGGCAGTTTAATGAATCTTCCACTTATTTGATGGGTTGGTTAAGAGATTATTTATGGTTAAACTGTGTACTTCTGCAGATATACATGGTTCATCTTCGCTCCTCATAAAACCAAATTCTTTGATTTTCTCATCGGAGCAAATATTCCAGCTACGAGAAGCTTGCTTAAGTCCATAAACATATTTTTGAAGCTTACACGCTCTATCAGGATGCTCAGACAATACAAAACCCTTAGGCTATGTCATAAATACATCCTCAAACAACTTACAATTAAGGAAAGAGTTCTTTACATCCATTTGCCATATTTCATAGTCATGAAATGTTTCTATGGCAATGATTATCTTGATGGATTTCAATATAGCTACTAGTGAGAAGATTTCATCATAATCTACACCATGAGTTTGCGTGTAGCCCTTCACCACCATTCTGGCTTTGTATGTGTGTACTTTGCCATCCGTGTTGGTTTTCTTCTTAAAGACCCATTTACACCCCACTGTCTTTTGACTGGGTCTATGATCATCCAAGTCCCATACTTGATTTTCATACATGAATTACACCTCGCTCTCCATAGCCTCCTTCTATTTAGCTGTCTCAGGGCCTGCCATGGCTTACTGATAACTGGTAGGCTCATCAAGATCTACCCATGTATCATCACCATAAGATACGAGTAAATTATATCTTTATGGTGTATGACGCATTCTATCAGACCTACGAACAGGTGGTGGCTGGATGTCAAATTCCTCAACAACTGTAGGTTCTATAATTTGTTGCTGAGAACTAATGCCAATGTCAGATTCCATGTTGGTTGTCTCTTGAATTTCTTCAAGTTCAATTTGGCTCCCACTGGCCCTTTTGGACATTAGTTCCCTTTCAAGGAAAACTGCCTTCGAGCAACAAACACTTTGTTTTCTGAAGGTTTATAAAATAAATATCCAAAAGAATCAGCTGGGTATCCAACAAAATAACATCTTTCTGATCTGGGTTCTAGTTTATTTTGAATTTCACGACGTATGTAAGCCTCACAACCCCAGATCTTTATATATGCAAGTGAATGAACTTTTCCACTCCATATTTCAGAAGGTGTTTTGAAAACCTTCTTCGTTGGTACAAGATTCAGGATCCTTGCAACAGTTTCTAAGGCATAGCTCCATAAACCGATTAGAAGCACAGTTCAGCTCATCATGGACCGAACCATATCAAACAATGTTCATTTTCTCCTCTCAACTACATCATTATGTTGTGGTGTCCTAGGAGGGGTAAGTTGTGAGATTATACCACAACTCCTTAGATGATCTTGGAACTCTTGACTAAGATACTCACCACCCCTATCGGGTCTGATAGTCTTAATCTTCGTGTTTAGTTGATTCTTTACATCGTTTTTGAACGTCCTGAACACCTTGATGGTTTCAGACTTATGTTTAATCAAATAAACATATCCATATCTAATGAAGTCATCAATAAAAGTAACAAAGTATCTCTCGCCGTGTCTCGGTACTGATTTGAACGACCCACATACATCATTATGTACTATGTCCAAGAGATCCTTGCCCCATTCACTGGTTCCCGTAAACGATGTCTTTGTCATCTTTCCCAAAAGACAAGATTTTACATTCATCATTCGATGTATGGTCAAACGATTCCAAAATCCCATCCGATTGGAGTTTGGTGATGCGTTTCGTGCTAATATGACCAAGACGACAGTGCCACAGATACGACTTATCCGAACCATCTTTGGATGAAGTGGATTCAACATTATAGATTGAACTTTTATTATCTCTTACACTTATACTGGTTTCATAAATACCATGACATGGGTTAGCCTTAAAATAAAACATTTCGTCTTTATAAACAAGGATAGATCCATTATCAAACCCAAAATCAAAACCATATTTATACAAGGCATAAAAATATGATGTTTCTAGTCATATCGGCTGAGTAGCAACAATCGATTAAAACCATAGACAATCCAGAAGAAAAAAAAATCTCGTAATTTCCTATCGTGTCAACAACAACAATATGCTTGTTACCCATGATCAGGTCCAACTCCCCACATCTCAGCTTCCTACTTTTTAGTCCTTACACATCAGTACAAATGTGAGTATCAAATCCCCTGTCCAATACTCAGGAATAGAAGCTAAAGTACTATGAAGTTCAATCACATACATACCTGAAGTTCCTGCTCCATTAGCTTTGAGCTTCCTAAGCTACTCCACATATTTAAGACAGTTACGCCTCCAATGTCCTAACTCCTTGCAGTGAAAGCATACAACATCCTCAGGAGTCTTTGATTGAGGTATATCAGATAGGAC